ATATGCTGCTCTACTTGTTCATATTATACCATATAATTAATAACAGTGTTACTTAATACTATGGGTGTCAATGTTTGACAGATACAAATCAACCATTAACCAGTACCATTCCCAAACCTTATGACCATCCCAATACACATTCAGAGCTATCACTACAGTGAACACCACACTCTCATTTTATTTTTAGTGTACCCTAGCCTTCACCACTTCTCCCTCATCAATACACACACATACACAGATCTTGTTTCTCCATGTTCTGTATTGAGATTACCTTAATGAGTTTCTTATTGATTTGGTAATTATCTCTGTGGGATTGCTGTAATCAAATCATAGGAAATTGTTGTTTTTTTTCTTTCATACTGTATGTTTTGTCATGGAGACCCCCAATCAATAGACCAAGCACCAAAAAGAGAAGGGGGAAGATAATGTTCAGTGATTTTATGGAAAAAAAATATTTGCAGACTTAGTAATTTCAGTCAGGTTAGCAAATTTAGGGACTGTCTTCTTTGTGAAGAAACAACTGTAAGATAGGATTGTGAGATTATATACAAAGATTATGTTGAGTAAGGTTAGCACATTGTCTGAATGATATCATCATTTTATTGATGAACTTTGTTATTTAAAGACCAATATTCTTAATGATAGTCTTTATAGAGGCATTGTTTCAATATTGTGGTTAGTATGTTGTTCATTTAGAAGCTTTACTTTATGATTCTCTGTTAAGGTTAGTATGCTGTCTATTTAGAGGCTTTATTTTATGATCAACTGTAATGGTTGGCATGTTTTGTCTATTTAAAGGCAGTAAGTATGTTTTCTCTCAAGGAACATTATTTTTATTTTCATTGTGTTTAGTATGTTTTCTATATAGAGGCTATGTTTTAATAATCTTGATGAGTTTAGTTAAATGTCTATTTTGAGGTTATTTTTAATAGTGTTCTCATTGAGTTTAGAATTTAAAATGAACAGTAACCTAGCAATTAATAGTAAGTTGTGAGTAACAATTCTGAAGCATTCAAGAAAATGTTTTGTGAATATTAAATAAACATTATTGTTGAACATGTTATGCATATTCTTGGAAAGAAAGCTTCAGTTTGATTAGATGCCCTTTTGAATAGTTTGGGAGTATTTCATTAAATTCTTGATCCTTCAATTCTTGATATGGATCAATCAAATTACAGTTTGTTATCCATTCTCTGGTTGAACAATATGTTTTATTGATCTATTGACTGATTCTAATGTGTATAAATGGATGTTTCATCCCAATGGACATCTGAGCCCTGACTTCATTCATTCATTTGGTGTTCTGAGTGCGGTGCTAGTTCATTCAATGCAGTATATCTTTACTTCAAGATCATTGTCATTTTGCATAATAGACTCTTGTTTTTTTTTCACTTTTGAGAGATGTGGACCAGCTTGCAATTATTTTAATGAATGAACTGTTTTGTTTTAAAACCTATTGTGTTGTAGAAACTTCTTTTTGGCTGCACCCCAGTAATTGATGTGACTTTCTGACTTTTGACTGCATCCCAGTAATTGGTGTGACTTTCTGAATTGCCTGGAGTGCTATATGGAATAATATGTATTTTACAGACATTAGTAATGAAATAAAATTGAGTTCTACTGTTAACATATAACACGGACTTAGATACTAGTGTAACTCAATTTTTTAAAATCTAACTTTTAAATTTTCTAAGTTCATGCTTTTTATAATAAACCTGTGCTTTTTATTCTGTTCATAAACTTTACTAATACAGCTTACTTAATTATTATGTGCTGCTTACATAATTTTTCTTGTGCTAATTACTTAAAATCTTTTGGAAGTGTCTTCAGTTTTATTAATAAAAGAGCACACTTTTAAAACAAGAATATATTTTATTTTTAACAATGTTTGATTTGGTATTGGTTTATATATTTATAACATTATAGTCTCGGGTTTAGAAGAAGAAAAATGTAGTCAATATCAGTTTCAGTTTCAAATATTCTAATTCTGATACATTACTAATTTTAAGATAATAGTCCATTTTAAATCAATAGTTATTTAAATTTGTGTTTTCTTTTACTTCATGAATCTCATATTTCACAATAAGCAATTCTAGAAGAAGAGAATGTGTACTGAATAGAGTCAACATTTAGTTTCATTAGTTTGAATACAATGAAACATTAAACATTTCTTATGCAATTAGTTTTTAGCCTCCCTTTTATTTACAAGAAAAAAACTAAAGCACATTTTGTCAATGAGAAGGCTTCAGCTCTTTTCTTTATTTTACTTCCAGTAGCCCTCTCAAGATGCAGCATATTCAAACTGATTGAGAAATGTTTGACCTCTTTATTAGGCTGATTAGGTTTTCTTAATAATATAACTTGAGACCCTTGTATATTGCACTCATAAAAGGGGAGGGACTTATCCAAGACTTGACTAATACAACTATATTACGTGTATTTTAACAAATATTAACATGCACGTTCTGTATACAGACACATAGACATGAAATAACATATTGTTTAACCTTATTTAATACTTGTATACAATTATTCTTCTACTTATTGTCATGTCTCTGTTTACTCAGCGTCGACGTTGTAGATCCACACAAACAAGGTTCTACGGAACAGGCTCTGACAGTGATGAAGATGGACCTGGCCATTCACCTTGGAAATTACCACGTGGCCCTCAGGCCAGGGGTTTGGGAGGAAGTGGTGGTGGTGCTAGAGGTCTTCATCCTTTCCCTTCTACATTAATGAGGACGCCACGCAGTGCCCTAGGTAGATCGCCCAATACCTCTCGGTCCAATCTAAGACTGCGCCGCCGGCACAATGAATCACAAGATCTAAAAGCTTTTAAGAAAAGCTTTGCTGGTGCTAATGCCACTTTGGAGTCTGAGAGTGAAGAGTCTGGTTATGGTGATACTTTGGGGGAGTATACTATGCATGCCTCTAGTTTTGACACTCACTTAGATGAGCCCTCTATGTGGATGGGCTCTGAGCACACACCTCTAACCTATATTGAGTCTGAATCAGATAATGAATCAACAGCTAGTTACATCAGTGGAATTTTTTTGCCAGTGGATCCTAAACTGCAGAGGGAAAAAGGAACTCAAACTCCTGGCCATGCCAAAACCCAAACTGTTGAATTGCAAGAGACCCATAACACTATTACAACACAGACAGAAGAGCTCCCACAATCAGTTGCAGTGCAAACATTAGACACATCATTTCACTCAATAGGAGCTCAAACTAAAAGAAAAAGCAGATCTAGGGCCAACATGCTTCGCAGTCTTCTTAGTGAGGTCAAAGACATAAAGAAGCAACATGGATTGGACGACTCCCGAGATGACATTTCTTCCATTGCATCTGATGCCACCACCATAAACAGAGAGATACTGGAGACCTTGACTCGTGATGTGGCTGCCCTCAAAGCAGCAAGTAACCAAAGTAGTGTAGCTAATCAGACTTCAACAGAACATGCCACTCAGACAATAAGATTTTCTGAAGAAGAAGCACTACAACAATCCAAAATGGATGAAATGCTTGAGGACATCCGACAGTTGAAAGCTGCCCATCTGAGCTCTGAGTTTGACCAGCGAGCACGACCTTTTTACAGGGCCACAACTCCTGTAAGATTTGAGGCTCCACATTCTATACCCAATCATGTACCACCTGAAGGTGAACCAATGGTTAATGGTCACATGTATGCAGTGCCGCAGGAGATAATGGCTGGCAGACGCAGGGTCACCCAAGAGGAGTTAAACAATATCAGTGAAAGGCTGGAGAAACTAAACAATTATCAAATACCTAGGCGCCATAATCCATATGTTTCTCCCTTTGCTACAGAGGTAGTGACAGTCCCCCCACCACCTCCTCCAGCCCACCCTGTGATAGTACAACCCACCCCGGCTCTTTCACCAAGGAGATACAGGGTTAGAGAGTTCACCCGCTCCTATGATGACATTGATATGCTTTCAGATGATGACTACCGAAGCAGACGAAGGAGAAGTCACAGAGGTCAAGGTGGAGTAATGGAAAGGTATCACCTTGATGATGCTATTTTAGAGGCAACACGGGCTTCCAAAAAACTTAAAATAATGTCTTCTAAAATGAAGCGCAATTTACGAGATGAATTAAACAGGTCTAGATATTGACAAAGTAGATACAATTTTTTTAAAAACATATTTCAAGCCTAAGTGCTAGATGCAAACCAATTATTAGATCCTTTTCTTCAAGCTTGGTTTGTACATTCCTTGTACATTCCAGTTTCAGTTCAAACTTAAAGAGCCACACAACATTCTGCTATAGTACATACAATTATGTTTGCTCTCTTGCCTAAAGGCAGCATTCAACAATTTTTTTTTTTCTGTCTTTTTTTCAAAGTGTTTTTTTTTACATGAAATAATTTTTTTTTTTAATTTCCTCTCTTCCTGACACATTTGAATTTTTCCTTTTAGTAATAGAAAGAAAAACAGTCTTGTACTTTTGAATGACATGATACTTTTGATTATATTTTCATATTGGGATTTTTTATTGTTTACACATGACTTTTACTGTAGAAAGCCGCCCATGACTCTTTTGATGACTCAAATTGTGTGTACATTTTCATTTCTGAAAAACATATTTGACAATTTTTTTTATTTCATACATATTTTTTCTATAACTATTACAATAGGTATTGAATAATGTAATATTTTAAAGTCTATATGCCACTTTTTTTTTTTGCTATAGCAATCATTTAGAGCTTATAATATGTTGAATTGTTAATACAAGAGTTTATTTTGATAAGCTTATGAATTTTAGTAAGGATCTTTCAAATATTAGAACACCATTTAGTTGTTACGTTGTAATATATATATTGATATTACAAGACACACTTAGAGCTGTGCTGTCTCAATATAAAAGTTGATGTTTGATGTTATAGTTGTTTTTGAGAGGTAGCTCTTCATTTTTTTCTTTATTTCATTATAATACATTATTGGTTATATCACTTAGAATACATTATTGTTTATATCATTTAGAATACATTATTGGTTATATCACTTAGAATACATTGTTGGTTATATCACTTAGAATACATTATTGGTTATATCACTTAGAATACATTATTGGTTATATCACTTAGAATACATTATTGGTTATATCATTTTTAATCAATATATTTTTATAAGGTTATATTCTATTTTAAAAAAAGGTCTCTAATACAAGTGTACACTTTTTTACCCAGGTTTAGCTAACATTTTATTATCACTGTTGTGTATGTTAACTATTTTTTGTCTCAATATTTCTTCTAAGAAATGTTGATTTTCTCTATACATGTTCACATTAAATTAAAGTTAATAAACAAAATCTGAAATTCAAACTAAAATGGGTTTAGAAATCCACACTGATAGTACACAATAATGTATTTATTTACAAGAAACATATTGTTTTGTCATTACAGTAGTAATTTATCATAGTTAATTATTGTATTTGTAAAATTATCTACAATTTTATTTACAATATGTATTAAAATAATTGTTAAACAAGCAAAATTGAATCCCAACTGAGGTTGTTATATAATCAATCTTAATAATTGATAACTGTTAGAAATATGCTTAATTTGTTTGAACAGCTGATTACAAAAAGAGAGAAAAATATTATTTTTTTTCCATTAAGAAACCAGTCTGTTGGTAGAAATTCACCAAAGCAATATTTTTTGTTTTGTTTTTTAATGTACTTAATGAAAAACGAATATTACTTTTCCCTCATAAATGCCAGTCTATGATTTATAATGGCCATTCAATGGAAAAGTTATACCAATAAATGTCTTCCATTACTAACCACCACCACCTTCACATTCCCTGCCATGAGTCAGATCAAATTAATTGTCTCACATAGTAGCAGTAACATAGAAAGAAAATTTCAGTAACATTCCATTAAAAATTACTTGTCAATGTAACATGGATGATTTTGTGCTTTTCTAGTTTGTTTTTTTTTGTTCTCTGGATTCTAGCAGCTCAGCAACATTCCATATATCTTGATTTGTGATAACCTTTTTATTGAGGGGAAAAACAATCATTGTTTTATTTGTTTGTTAAATCTATCCTCATTATTTGTGTAGTAGTAGACCAAGAGCTGTGATATGTGATACTGATTTTATGGTTCAAAAACTTTAACTTTTTATTTAAGATTTTAATCATCATGGATTCTTCACTTTAGTATTGTGATACATTTTTATAAATACTTGTGAAGACAAAACAAGCATAATAATTAATATAACATTTTAGCAGCCAATCCTATTCACCCTGCACATTTTTTACCCCCCCCCCCCCCCCCCCCCCCCCCCCCGCCACTAAAACCAGAGCTTGTCTCAAAAAAAAGAGTCTAATCTTCAGTATTTTGTGAATATTTCATAAGTTAATTTTTTTAAAATACTTGCATAACTTCTATTCATGTGTTTCTAACATAAACCCCACATATGTATGCATGATTCAAAAGTCTATTGGCTGGTGATTAAATTGCGTTGTAAACACTTTCATAATCACAAACTATATAAATCATTGGAATGTACTGATAAAAATCAGATAGACGTTATATATGTACACTTGTAGATATCATGTCAGAATTACAACAAAGTTTTTTTGTGAATAGCATGCTCCTATATATGTACATATCACAAGAGAAACTGTGATACAAATTATTTATTTTTTATTCATATTTTTATTATAACGTCTTAAAATGGACTTAGTTTACAATCAACTCTTGCCAAATATTCCAATCATAATTTTTACATGCATGATGTGATTTTGGTTTGAACTTATTATTGTACTAGTTATATTTAAATTATATACAACAGAAAAGTAGTGAACACAAAGCATTTGAACTAAATGAATATTTAAGAGGTTTGACCTCAATGTTTCATAATTTGTTTTAGCCAAACAAACAAAAACTTTTCTAAAAAAAAAACAATTTATTTTTTTATTTCACTTTCTAGAATAAAAAGAAAGTAAATGACACCTCTTGTCTGTTTCTTTTTTTTTTTTTTTTTTTTGATTGTCTGTGTCTCTACCCTAGTTTGTTTTTTAATTATATGTTCTAGTTACTATTACCTGTCATTTGTATATTGGGATTTTAATGTAATCTACAAAACAGCCATATTCTCCTAACAATTTAGTCTATTTCTCACACAATTCATGACCAAAAAATAATAAAACTCAATATGCACTCTGCTTGTGCATTTGACTCCTGATACATAGAAAAGAATTCCATGCTGGATTCAAAGTAAGTGAATTTTGATCCCAGCTGCACATGTGAAATCTCTAACCACATAAAATGAACATCTTAAAATAGTTTTAATTAAATTTACTTTTTTTATTTTAGTGAAGTTTTAGAAATGTATTGAGTATCACAAATTTAGTGTCATCCAACCTTTTTTTTAAAGCACAAGTTTTTTAATAATAGAAGAAGCATCACCTTAGTCTGTTGAACTGTTGTGGCACCACACAAGATTTGTCAATCCTGTTTCTCCATCTCTCTGACCTTTGCTTTGGATAGAATTTCATTAAATGACCTGTCCATTCTTTGTTTTGATGATGTTTGCTTCCTTGGTCTTCCTCTTCCTGATACTATACCCTGAAGGAAGGTCTTAGCAAGTTCTGAGGATCTTGTCATTTGACCATAGAGTTTAAGTTTATGTTTTTTGAGAGTGATTAGCTGATCATAATAGGGTCCAATTGCTGTATTAATCCTGTTTCTAATCTCTTCATTCATGATGCGATCTTTGTAAGTGACAACTAGGATCTTTCTGTAGCACCTTAGTTCCATTGCTAGGATCCTCTTCTCTAGTTCTGTAGTCAGCATCCAAGAATTGCATGCATATAATTATCTGGCAGTAACCAGGGTGTGTAGGGTAATATGAAATATAATAAACAAACAGTAAAAATGATTGATGAATTTCTTGAGTGATATCTTGTAAGAATAAAATCTATGATATTAATACATCTAATGTATATAATTAAGAATAAACTGATACTATTGCTTAATAAATCAATACTTTACATCTCTTTGATGCAAAGTATTAAAGAATACATCAGTATCAAGAGAATAGAAAATGGTTTGCCTTAAGCTAGTAGCTCATTTTGGCTGATATAAACATTTTGTTAAAATAGTGTCTACATCTCCCCAAAAAATAAATCCAAATTAACATTTTACTCACAACTCTTTAATATATCTCTGAAACCAGAGTGCTACATACACTGCTCTTTTATCTACTGAAGACTGAGCTCACCAAAACAATGAAAGGTTACACAACAAATAGTGTGGTTGATACAATGGACCACATGCCAAAAGTATTTTTTTTTAAAAGGAAGAACATCAGAAGTGCTAAATGTTACTAACACTTGAAGGATGGCTGCCTGGTCGTGCGGTTTGTGCGCTGGACTGTCGTTTAGATTTATTGATGGTCCCGGGTTCAAACCCTGCCCGCTGCCATCCCCCGTCATCCTGCAGGAGGTTTGGACTAAGAAGTAAACTATCTTCAACTCTGAAGGAACATCCGAAACATATAAAACATTTACAAAATAAAACATTTTACAAACAAATGAATAATTCAAATGTCAGTTGTTTCTTAATTGTTGAGAACACTTGACATAATGTGTTGTTGTCTGAAAGGACAAGCTGTAAAACTCTTATAAAACTCTTATAAAACCTATAAAACTAATCTTTGCAAGAAATATTACCCTATAATTAGAAGGTCATGTTAAAATTGTCTGGATCAAGTACATCCTTAAATACTTTCAAGGGTAACGTATTTGCGAATAAATAAAACAGAGAAAGATTATTGTGGAATTAATTTAAAAACTTTCATTAAATAAAGTCAACAATTATAAACAATAAACAAGTTGTATTACACTATTCAATCAACTGTATACTAGTTTCATTAGGACTACATTTCTCAAGCAGAACAAACCAACCAATAAATAAACCCTAAATCTTTTATAATATTTTTTAATCTTTATTTGCATCTAGCCTCTAGACACCATGTGCATTTTCAGAACTTTTATTAGCCTTTCAAGTAAGAGTCACTGATATTTAGACGATGATGACAGCCTAATAGCTAAATATTCACTATAAACTAAATGTTATAGGCCATCTTTCCTGCACTTACCTAACCAGATTAGGACCAGATAAAATGAGAAGTTGTTGCCAAAGAAAATTACATACGATGATAAAAAAACTTAGCTATTTTTTGCTTTGTAGCATAAAAATATCTAAAAATATAATAAAATAAAGCTATAAGTAGGTCACAGATAGGTCTCATAGTCAAGCAAATTTCTGCAATCTTTCTTCTAAAATTCTTGTCAAGATAATAATAGATAATTACATTAGATAAAAGTAACATATAATCTACAACTATTATTATTTAAATCGCTTTTTAAATCTTAGTTACAAAAAAAAACATTTCTGTATTGTCATGTGTTCAGATTTAACTCTAAGCTAATTAAAACAAAATCTTTTACTAAGGACAATACAATTATAAACATTCATTATATTCACATTATATTACAATTAAGGATAATTTTAAAAAAACAGCTTTCCATTTTTAAGGGAATAATCACCACTTAAGTTGGCTTCAAAGATACATTCCATCTGTCCTTAACAGGAAGAGATGGTATTATTTTTATTTCCTTTATTTAACCACTCATTGACGTAATAAGTTTTTAAATATGGAAGCTCTGAAATCTTGCAAATGGATAGGAATACAAAAATCTACTTCTGTTTTGGTACAGATCTATACACAAAACATCTCTACTTAAAAGTAAATTACTGTTTTCTAGCTAAATTTATAAACTCTTCCTAGTCAAATGAACTATTTATCCAGTAGTATTGAGTCATTTTATTAGAGACCAACAACAACAAAAATGAAAAATGCTAATCTCTTGATAAATAAACATCCTTTGAGTAGCTCTAAAGATTTAGAGCTAATAACTAAAAAATACAACTTTTATTTAAACGCTGTGTAGAAACTTGCTGAAAGAGTTCTACGACTAAGGGAGAGAATTACACAAGTAGAAGAAGAAAGTGACAGTGTTTGCTGCAAACTAAGCCAGCCTGACAGAAATCTTGTTGAAGAAAGGATTAGGTAAGAAACAGCATTCCATGTGATTATGCCATTCATATACTAAATACTGATTAAACTATTCAGATACAATGCAATCTGTGGAATTGTTATCACAAGTATTTAATCTTAATCGTGTCATCAATAATGGGCATAAGAAGAAAAACTTCTGACAAAGCCTGGCTTCTACAGCCTTGGCAAATATATCTGAGCCCCAGATAAAAGCTACCACCATATGCAGGTCTGCCACATAAAATAGTGCACAGTTTCTTTTCAGACAGTGTTTTATTTAATTTTTTTTTAAGTTTACAGTCATAATTACTAGATTTTGTTTTAGGTCTAGGTTTTAGGTCTAGGTTTTAGGTCTAGGTTTTATTGTTCAGCTTTCTTCACTTACATTTTGCTCTTTAGCTTTGACAAAATATTTCTAATTTTAGCCTAATTATCATAACTATTTGAAAAGTAGATTGAAATCTTATTTACATCACAAAAAGTCAGATCCTATCACTTTTAAGAGGAACTCATTAAACATTAGCATAACAATTATTAGCATAGAAATTATCAACATAACAATTATCAACATAGCAATTATTGACATAGCAATTGTTAGGAACATATTTCAACCATAATGAAACTGTGTGAAGTGAGAACAAATTCCTCACTATTGAGGGAAGAGCATCCAATATCTTAGACCTTTTAGTTTAAGTTCTCTCTGTTTCACTTTCTACCTGCAAAGTATTAGATGAATCTAAAATTATACAGAACCACATTGCAGTTGACATTTAAAAAAAAAATGGTAACTCTAATTCTACCATTGGAATTCTTTATATATTTTTAAATCATACACATACAGCCACACACAATCCATATCCAGCAGCATTGGATTGTGGGAATACAAACTAATGTCACTGGTTATCTTGGTGTTCTTGTAATAATAATAATAAAAAAAAATATTATTTCTGCGTTTACTAAACAGAGATAGAGAGAATTCTCTAAACAAACTTGATCTGAACATCCAGCATAGACTTCAGGGCTACACATCTATTCAGTCTGATCTCATGGTTTTCAAGGAGGAAGCAAAGATATATATGGCCTGGCTGGAGGAACAAGAAGACAGGTTGAGGAGCAATGACCAGCTGACCAGACATACAATTGAAGAACTCCAGGAGAAACTAAACAGCTTCAAGGTAAGGAACTGATTGAAATTTTACCATAAATATTGGGGCCATGATGGCTGAGTGGTAAAGCATTTCTGAACTGAGGTGTCTCTGGTTTGAATCGTGATTTAGAATTCCTGGATTTTTAGTACACACCTGAGTCCTCACAGCTCTAACAGGTACCTAATATTAAGTGGGAAAAAGTCATTGTACTGGCCACATGACACCCTTGCTAACTTTTACATCATCTGCCCTATAAATCGCAAGGTCTGGAAGGGGAACTTAACCTTTTTTTTTTTTACCCCAAATATAGGTATATATTGTTACATATTTTACTTGAATCACTAATGCTGATTCTTTCAAAACTGTCACTTTCCGCGCTTGTATCATCCATCTTCTCTTTTGTCTTTCTCTTTTAACAAAGTACTGCAGTGTCTTGTAAGACTTTAGTGCGGCTTTTGGAACTTATATGTTAATACTGTCTAAGTATTTGGTCTATGATATTCCTGAGTAAAGAATAAAAAAAAGTTGATTAAATTTATAATTTTTTTAGTTCAAATTTTTTTTTGTTATAAGTTTCATGTGTAAAATATTCAACATTTTACTGACAGATCTTTTTTTTCTAAGGTCAGAATCTGTTTCTGTGGGTTTCAAATGTCTGAAATGTTCAGTTTTATTTTTAATGTCATATGATTTTTAGCTTAATTAGTGCTTCAAGAATTTTGACAATAAATTTTTGGAT